GTCTGACGAGTAGGAGTCCTACCGAACGATGCTTTAAAAAAAAGAAAAAAAGAAAGGAAAAAATAAAAAGAGAGAGAAAGAGAGAAAGGAAAAAGGATAAAGAAGTAGTAGAAGTAAGGCAAAAACCTGAAGAAGAAGAGTGAGAGAGAGAAGAATAACTAACAAAAAGAATATATTGCAGAAAAGGGAAAACGCGTGCGCGAGCGCGCATTATGCTAGCGAACTGAAAATGAGTGAAATATTCTTATGCGTAACTGCATATTCTTTCTTTCCGTTAAGCGTATTTCAGATACATATGTACACATATTCCCATTCTCTCTCTCTCTCTCTCTTTCTATTTCTCTCTATCACTTTCTGTCTGTCTGTCTGTCTGTCTCTCTCTCTCTCTCTCTCTCTCTCTCTCTCTCTTCTATCTCTCTCTTTCTCTCGCTCTCTTTCGTTATCGATTAACGGAATTCGCTTCTGCCGTTCGTCGCGACTCATCGTCGGAAAATGTTAAAAGGATCGACGTGGGCAGACGTCGATGAATTCTTCTTTTCTTCTATATTTTGTACTCCTTTTTTTCCCCTTTTATTTCTCTTTCTTCCTTTTCTCTCTCTCTCTCTCTCTCTCTCTACATATTGTCTACGTCCGACCAAAAGTCACTAACAACACTTTTGGCACGAAATGACTTATGCAGTTTATATATAAGATTAAATATTTCATAAATAATACAGAGGAAAAGTTTACTAAGCATAATTAATAGTATGGAAAAGTATACTTTTTGTCTAAATCTGATTTTTGTAATTAAAAATGTTGTTAGACTAGCAACTATTCAGTCAGATTAACATAAATGTTTGTTAGTGACTTTTGGTTGAATATATATATATTTTTTTCTCTCTATAATTCTTTTTCGTTATTCCAATACAAAGAAACAGATACTGAACAACATAGGGGCCTATTCGTGTTAATCCTTTCTCTCTGTCTTTCTCACGCGATGATTTTCGAAGGTGAAATTTCGTGAATGGTTTCCCCGAAACGCAGGCGTACCTGCGCAAATCATTATGCGAGCCTGATTTTCATTCTTATTCGACGAGATAGTAACATGGCCGCCGAAATATCCGCGATACCTTCACTAAAGTTAACCTCCAAATTCGATAAAACCGAATATTCGGGTGTAGAACGGTGAACCAAATGAGAGAGAAAGAGAAAGAGAGAGATCCGTTGAAAGATCTATGGACTCTTTGCGTTCTCGTTCGAATTTTTACAGGTACAGATATAGATAGATAGAAAGATAGAAAAAGAAAAATGATAAAAAGGGAGAAAAAGAAAGGCACAGAGTTTATTTCGCATGAACGAAAGCCTGATATGGATAGAAAAGTGAAAAAGAGAGTAATATGTACACATATATGAGGTATTAAAAAAAAGAGAACTAACGGAGTGACAATGCGACATGTGTACATGTATGTAATGAACAACGTATTATTATTATTATTATTATTATTGTTATTATTATTGTTAATATAAAATAAAGTAGAAAAGAAGGAGGAGAAAACTAAAAGCTTAAAAGAAAAAGTTAAAACAGGGGTTAGGGGGGATGGGGGTGGGATGGGGGTAAAATAAAAAGACAAAAAAATTGAAAATGAAAATGAAAATGAAAATTGCGAACCCGACGTGTCGAAGTTCAAAGGAAGTTCAAATCGACTCTCGCTGGATGCTTCACAGTCTGTGCGTTTCTCTCGATGTGTTCGTGAAAAAAACAAAAAAATAAAACAAACAAAACAAAAAAAGAAAAACGAATAATAAATAAATTAATACGAGAGATAATTAATACAGACAACCGAAAAATAAACTCGTGTATGGGTTAGCCGAAAAATTGTGTAAAATTGGTCGAAGATCTTCATGGTAGTCGTTTGTTAGGATCGAACATGTTGAGTAAATGAAAAGAAAGTTTGAAGCTTTGTTTTTTTCGATTAGAAAATGAAATATGTAATTTTATCTCGGATCATTCAATAACTAGATCGATCCTGCATACGTCAGCCAAAATTTTGAAAAATTTCTCGAAGATCTTTCATGGTGGTCGTTGATTAGGATTGGACATGCCGAGCACATGGAATTTGGGGCTTTCCAATTAGAAAATGAAGTAATTCTATCTCGGACCACATGGAACGGTCGATCGATCGTGCATACGTTAGACGAAAAATATTGAAATTAGTCGAAGATCTCATGGTCGTTGTTTGCTAGAATCAAAGTAGTCGAATACACGGAAAGAAAGTTTTGGGGCTTCTGTTTTTGTCGATATCACTAAAATGAAATAATTTAATCTAGGACCACATGTAATGGCCGGGGCCGATCGATTGTCCCATACGTTAGCCGAAAAATTGTCGAATTGTTTCTTCGATCTTATGATCGTTTGCTAAAATCTAACGTGTTGTTGACGGGCATGGAAAGAAACCGTGGGATTTCTTTTTTTTTTTTCCTTTTTTTTCCTTTCCCGGTTAGGGAATGAAATAATTCTATCTCGCATCAGGCCGATGTAATGGCCGATCGATGAGACGTCATTAATATTTTCAATCCGTTACGGAAATATGAGTTATTAGTAATATCAGGCGAAACGTTTTTACGATTCTTTTCGATGTAACTAGTACGTATGTATGCATGCACCGATCGATTGGTGGAAAACGAATGCGATTTTTAGATTAACAGAGGCCGCGTAATTCCGCGTTAGCTGGAGGTAATAAAGGGTGGGGTGGAGGCAACTAGGAGGGCAGAGAGAAAGAGAAAGAGAGGGCGCCGGTGGACTAGCGGGGTTAAGGGGGACTGATGAGGGATTTGTGGGAGGGGCACGGGGAAGTAGATTCGAATCGAAAATTCAAAGGATATACGCGCGGCACGGCGATATGCACTGCGCGCCGCAGCGCTTTTCTCTTCTCTTCCAGCTTTACCACGGAAAAGAGAGAGAGAGAGAGAGAGAGAAAGAGAGTGAAAGAGAGAGAAACAGAATATGTGTATGAGAGAGAGAGAGAGAGAGAGGGCAAAAAAGCGCAGGATTTTATTAAAAAGTCTTATTCCCAGTCGAAATAAGTGATCGATTTTGCATGTAATGTAACCCTATATATTATCTTCCAACGGTGTATGAGGGTGCCTTGAGATTTTCAATTGAATGCGTCACAGGACGTCCTTCTGGGCTTGGTGCACGTTCTCCCTTGCCTCTGCAGGGAAGCCCGAACAGTTATTGACCTACCGTACGAGATAAATATTTTCAATCAATTATCGAAAAAGTCCGATCTAACGAAACTATTCGATCAATATCAATAATTTGTAAAGAATAATCTAATCAGAGAAAAATTTTAATTTCTATTACATCGGATCATTGGTAAATTCAATGTTTTATCATAGAACTCGGGACAGGAATTTTGCCATAGTTCGGACAAACATCGCCGTTGGAAAATGTTTTGTCCATACTGGCGTAGCCTCTCTAGTGATACGGGCCGCCATCTTGCGGGACTTTCGGCAAGATCTCGATGGCATCGCAAGCGCGTCATCGTCCCGATGATGCCAACTCGATGATCTCGTCCACTTGGGCTCGATCGGGACTTGAAATTTTCTTTTCTACCAAGCAGGGCGGGGCATCACTTTCGCCGCTTACCTCCTACGTATGGTATATTAGGATTAAAGTGGATCTCGCGTTGTGCCTCGTTCCCACAATAAAGGGAATGTCGCGATATTAAAGCCCGTAAAAGCTACGGAACCCGTAGCTTGCTTTCTTTTTCTTTGCTACTTCTTTCTCTCTCTCTCTCTCTTTCTCTCTTTCTCTTGTCTTCTTCAAGGGATTCCTTGCGTTCGCCCAAACCAGACGGAACCAAACACCAAAATCCTTTCGTCTTATGCCATCTTCTTTTTCCTTCTGTTATAGTCTTCTAACTGATCTCTTCTCCTTCTCCTTCTACTACTTCTTCTTCTTTTTCTTCAAACAAGTCCATCTAGTATCACCATCGGCCTGACCCCATCAGCCAGAACTTTACTTTATTCTTGGCCGTTCGAATCGGACACCTTTAGAAAACTTTCGATGACGTTCTTAAATGATCCCTTTCTTTCTTTTTCGAATAAGACAGAAAGGAATAAAGAGAGAAAGAGGAAGAGAGAGAAAGAGAGAGAGAAAGAGAGAGAGAGAGAGAGAGAGAGAGAGGGAGAAAGTTGGAAATCGATCGATCCTTTCCTCCCTCTCTCTCTCTCTCTCTCTCTCTCTCTCTCTCTCTCTCTCTCTCTCTCTCTCTCTTTTCACCGACTCCAATGGGAACGGTTCCAAACAACGAAATTCAAAAACGAAATCAAACGATTCAAAAGCCCGTCTACCTTTCTAACGCTTTCCTTTCATCCAAATCCAACTCTTACGAAAGAACCTCCGTCTTATTCGTACGCGAACTGGAAAAAAGGAAGAATATAAAAGTAAAGAAAAAGGAAAAGAAAGAAAAAAATTGGTAGTCCCGTCTAGGGAAAACGTCCGACTCAACTTTAGACGACATGGACGAGGAAGAGGAGGTGGAGGACAACAACGTGTAGTCGGTGACGACAAACACGTGGACAGATTTATGGTTAGCTAGTCTAGTTCTTGTTCTCTCTTTTTCTCTGTCTCTCTCTCCTTGTTTTTTGTATTCTTTTTACCGCGTACTGTTGTTTCCTTTTTTTTTTTCCTTTTCTTTTCTTTTTTTTTTGTGTTTTTCTGTTTGTTTCATGCACCACGCGAGATCGGGTCGTGCGCGCTTTGAAAACGTTTAACGAAGAGTGGCAAGTGTCAGTCAAAGGGTGAGAAGAGAAGAAAAGAGAAGAGAAGAGAAGAGAAGAGAAGAGAAGAGAAGAGAAGAGAAGAGAAGAGAAGAGAAGAGAAGAGGGAAGGAGGAAGGGATGAAGAGGGGGTGGTGGAAGGGGGTGGGTGTATATACGGAATCGACGATTGGCTTACATGCCACCTGTAGCACCGCGGGAATGTGGTCGGACTCTCTCTGGGCCGCCACCTCCACCTCCACCTCCACGGTACCAGCACCACCAACCAGTACCACCACCAGTACCAGTACCAGTACCACCAGCAGCAGCAGTAGCAGTAGCAGTAGCAGTTCCACGCGATATCGCTTAGAGAGCCTCCGGTAGAAGGGATTCATCAATAAAGTTTACTATTTTTCCGATATCGTTTTTCCAATTCTATAAATCGTCGTAGCGGAGAGTTCGTACATACGTGCGCGGCGGGCGCACACCGGCGAAAGAGCCCCGTTATGAATGGCCCACGTCGGTTGACGTTAATCTGCCACTTCATCTCTCTCATCCAGGCTCCGCGCGTTGTATTGCGCCAATCTCCCTTCTTCCCCCTACTCATCCTCATCCTCATCCTCATCCTCCAACTCCTCTACCTCTTCTTTTACCTCATCCTCTTGCACATCCCCCTTCCACGCAAGCGAGTAACCGTCCTACCCTTCCACCCCTTAGCAAGCCATCCTCCTAATCAATTGTTTTGTCGGGAGGGTGGTGCGCAGGGTAAGGGAGGATAACTGCTACGCGGAAAAAAAAAAAAAGAAGAAGAAGAGTAGAGTCACGCGAGAGACCCACGGAGGACTGACTGAGAGAATGAGAGACATAGATATAAACGGAGAGAGAGAGAAAAAAAAATACCTTCGACATAGGAGAGGAGCATCCCGTAACGCGCGTTCTCGTTCGTTCCATCGTTCGTCCGTCCGTTCGTTCCATCCGTTCGTACGTCCATCCATCCATCCGTACGTCCGTTGGTCGGTCCACTTTACGCGCCACGCGCGACCACCGAATTAAATCGTCGTCGTGACGCTCGTTTTGGATATCCGCTTGACCTCGAAAAAAAGCAACCTCCATGCATGCCCCGACCTTTATGACATTCTTGATCGCATCGATCCGGATTAATCACTTCCGCTCGCGCCCCTTCTTTTTATTTCTGCTTCTTCTTTTTTCCTTCTTTTTTTTTTCTTTTTTATTATTTTTCCGTGTTCCACTATGCTCTCTTGCTTTTGTTATTTTTTTTTATTTATATGTTTGCTTTTATTCTTTTTTACGCTTCTATTTTTTCCCCCTTTCCTTTCCTCTTTTTTTTTGTGTTTTCTTTTTTCTTTTTTTCATTCTTTCACCCACCCACTTTACTTTTCCCGCCCGCGAGATCGTTTAAAACGTCATTTTTATTATCCCACCCCCTCTCTCTCTCTCTCTCTCTCTTTTTCTCTCTCTCTGTTCATCTACTTTTATTCGTCTTTTTTCTTCTTCTCATTCGTTCGTTCGTTCATTCGTTCTTCAACACGACCCGTGATCTGATTTATTCCGCCACTCTTTTTTTCGGTTATTTAATCTTCATTGATAATGACGAATGAATGCACTTGCCGTGGAGAAACAAATATGCGTTATCTTTCAAAACTTCTTTTTATTCGTTCTCAAGAAAATGCCGTACTAACAATTAGTGACAATAGTATTTGGATTGTTTTATCTCTATATCCTATTATCTAAATTATTTACAATTTTTTTCGTGATTTTTTTTTTCCTTCACGTTGATTGAATTAAAAAGTAGTTTTTCACCCTTGTAATTGTAAGGATATATTTTTTTTATTTGTACCGAGGTTTACTTTATTTTCAGAATAATTGACATTTCTATTACACGCGTTACATTGTTGCAACGTTAACGATTTAAGGCAATGATCTATATATTTAAAAATTGACTTTGTATTTTTTTTTTTTATTTTATTTTATTATTTTACGCTAAAGTCAATTTGTACGATTTCAGTCTAAAGATTCTGGAATATTTTTCAGTTTCTTTTATTCTATTTTAATTATTTTTCTTTTTTTTCTTTTTTTTTTTAGCAATACTATATCACTTATGCGTTCCCTTTTTTTTATAATATAATGGAAGCACCAATCGAGCAAAATTTATTTATTTAAGATTATTAGGACGGCGTTGTTACGTTTATTTTTTTTAATTACTATATCGTTTCATCGTTCTCAATACTGTCGATTTTCGTCTATACTCTTATTGATCTTACAGATAATACTTTAGTTATAATACAATTACAATCTTTTTTGCAACGGTACACAAATTCATATCTGTAACGCAAATGTTAAATAAATGTAAAAGGTTCTACATAATTGGAATGTTAATTTAAATGTCTTTTTTTTTTTTTTCTAACAAAACAATTTCAATCTAATTGCTTTTTACTCGGGTTCTCCCTCTTTTTCTCCCTCATTAAATTAAATTAAATTAAAGAGTAAATATATACCTTAAACGAGAAGATATCATTTATATTCTAATAAATGTTCGTTTATAGTTAATATTTAAAGGAACGCAACCCTAAAAGCAACTCTAACTCAATCAAACGAACAAAAAATATCTCAAATAATTTACATTGTACTCGATGTTTCTCAACGAGTACACACACACACATTTTCTTAAGAATAATAATAATTTATATCTATTAATATATATATAAAATATTTTAATAACGCACTCTTTATGCAGGAATCTTAAATGCGTAAACTTCTGTCTTTTTTGTTTGTCTTTTCTCGACGTTGGATCCAATAAAAAAGAAAAACAAAAAACCATTTGTATATAAGGTAATGAAATACTTTAGCATATAAAAATAAAATAATGAAATCCATTCGCGCTTTACCAGTAACGACAAAATATTCCTTTGAAAAACCTACATGCAAAATACTTTCTATATCAGAGCTTCTCAAACATTTCCACTTGGTGGCCATTTTTTATTCGAGCAAATATTTTCGCAAACTTCGCTTATAGACTCTGTTACTATCTTTTCTTCAACTATCATAAACTCACAGATACGTTAACTACTTTTGAATTAATTTTCGATCGTTACACGTCCAAGAATTTTTCACTTTTGCTACAATTTCAGCGACCCCAAAATTTAGTTACCCCACGACCAATTTTCGACTTTCCTGTACCAATATGTATATAGATATATTTGTATCTATATATTAAAAGTGATATATTACATATGACGAGGCACGAACGTTTTTTAAATGTACTTTCTATTATACATCTACCATCGAACTATAAAACGTAAAAATTTATCATCTTTACACGTAGAATGGCACACGAGAGATTAGTTATTTCTAAAGGGATCAAAAAAAACACACACTCATTCGCACACGTACGTACATGCATACATATCTCTCTCGTGAATATTATTTTAACGTTTCCATTTACACGCAAAAAAAAAATGTATCCATCACAGTACGATGTATTCTTGTACTATCTAATTGTAAAATTTATGAATGTAATTAATTTGGAATTCTAAAATTATTTGTCCTATTATTTGCAAAGGTACTTTTGTAAAATTACAAAATATTTGAAAATTTTGAACACTATTCCTAAAATCAAATTATATGCCCTATAATTTGCGAAGGTACTTTTGTGTAATTAAACATTTAATTTGGAATTCTAACACTAAATTATATGCCCTATAATTTACAAAGGTGTACGAGGGTGGATTGAAAAGTTTGGAGAATTATTTTCAAAAATAAAAATTAAGTTTGTCCGAAAAATAAATTGGTTTCTATATCAGAGACTCAAAACTATTCCATCCAACCCACGTACAAAATGCATCGGCAATAAAATCTAATAGGGTTGTTTAATACATTATTAAATCTTTCCCTATTGGATAATAATCAACGATGAACTCGGTACTGAAACATTAAACATTTCTGATCAGATTTTGGAAAAAAACAGAATAAAATACAATGTTACGTTTTCATCTACCGAATACAATTGTACAGATATTTGTCTTCTTCTTCTTCTTCTTCCGATAATCATTCTTTCCAAGATACAGTAATGTCACGCAACTCGCGTCCCTCAGGAATGTCGACGTTGTTGGTACTGTTCACTAATTTCTTCTTACTTTGATAATTTTTATCATCGAAACATACGACTTGATCGTTGCCAATAAAATCATTTTTAACTTGTTTGGATGACAAGTTTTTTCCTTCCAAACGAAATACGCGACATGGAAATATGACGATTAGGATTGACATGATCGATCCAATAACCAAACCAGCCAATACGTCCCACCAATGGTGCCTATTGTCTCCAATTCTACTCAATGAACATAGCACTGCCCACATTGATACCAAAAACTGCAACCATGGTTTCATCAACAACGTTCTATCCGTCATACGTTGTTGCAAATAACACTGGAAGAATATTAATAATTATTTAGCGTTAATATATATATATATATATATATATATTTTTTAATGTGTTTATAATTGTTAATAAATTCACTTACTACGACAAAAATAGAAGTAAATACAGAAAGGGCCGAGTGAGCCGATGGAAAAGATTTACTCGAATCTGCTATGAACCAATTGGAATCGTCCACATTTGTGCAAGTGTACGTCTCGATGTATCTGGAAATTTAATTTATAATTAAGAAAAATATTTTATTAATATTTTAGTTTCGTTTTGTAATGAAAATAAATAAAAATCGATCAATAAAATAAACCTACGGTCGATACGAGAATAAAATCTGTTTCATATCGTGCAGTCGGTAGTTATAATTACATAACATTTATTATATTAATTTATTACATTTAAAGATGATAGTTAAAATGTATTGCAACGTTTAAGCTTATTATTTTATTCGAAATCAGACGAAAAGTTAACATACTTCAACAATCAGTTTCCAGGTTTCTACATTATCGACCATAATTACATTTTTTAATATAATTTAATTATTTTGTTAAAATTCGTATAAAAAATATGCCTAATGTGAGTTAAATTAAACTAAAACCTATGATCCCTCGAAATAACAATAAAATTCGTTAATAATTATGTATTTTCTAATTTTAATTCTTTCATATTAATTTTAGAAATATAAAGCAAATAAAATTAGAAATAATGAAAGATTTTTAATGAAATTGAATTGAATTTGAAATTATTGAAGGTTGATAGGTTTCTACATAACTTTGATAATATAATTTGATATATATATACGTACTCGTTCGTACAATTTCGAGCTTCCAGAGGTTGGCACGTATGAAAGAAATGTGGCCTAGGTTCTCCAATAACTATTTTCATAACGTTACATCCAACAACCAATGTGATAATTCCTATCAAATAATGGCCATACCAAAACCACACTTGTTTTAATCTTGAGTTATTACTATTTGTTTCTGTATCGTAACTATTACTTGTGTGGCTAGCGCATTCGATGACCCACATCTAAAAAAACAAAAACAAAACTATACATTAAATGATTAACAAAAAAGATAACTTCAATAAAGAGAAAATTACAAAATGTAATTAAAACTATAAAAATGTGAAAAAAGGAAAGTTTTTAAAAATATATATTTCCGATGACAAATCATAAAAATTCCAATAACTTACCACGAGAATTGGCATAGTAGCGGTAACAGTTAATAAAACGGCAACGGAAACTGTGTCTCCGGTAAATTTAAAGGAAAGTTTCGGATCATTGCAGAAAAAGCCGATTTGATTGCGTGGAATATTACCAAATTCCAATAATCCCATAAGCACGATCACTAAAAAAAAAAGAAATCAAATCAATTCTAATAAAAAATTAGATAATCATTTAATTACGTTTTTGCTTCGAATTGATCAATATCACAGTTCTTACGCAAATATTATATTTTTTATTATTCTTGCTCTGCACTTTGCAAAATAACATTTATTACAAACTTTATGAAAAGTAAATGAAAAAATAACATAAAAAAGAAGTTTCCCGATTACTGCAATGTTTGAAGTTGCATCAGCACGATAAATATGGTTTATTACTCATCTTGAGATTTCTTTTTCTAACAAAAAGTGCAGGTAAAAAAAAATTAACCTTTTGTGATTTTTATCATTATTTCATCGATGTACATGCATGAAAAAAGTACGTACAATAAAAAGATTATTTCTGTTTGATTTAAATCTTATTGAAACGTTTTTATGAGTAACGTGAGTTCTTTTCAAGGAGAAAAATTTGCGTCACTTAACGAACGAGTGTTCTTTACATTACATTTTAGGATAATTATAGTACAATCATAGGATTCAATTTATCAATAGCTGTCTAATTTTATTGACAATGAATAAAAGTCTAATAGTTCTGAATAAGAAAACGTGTATTTTAATGGCATGATTCGATTCATAATTGATTATTACATAATTTTAACTAGACTTATTTTTCTATTCTTATTTAATTAAAGAAATTAGATAAATTATTTCTAATAAAAAAATAAAATACTTTCATAAATATTTTAATTTTGTATTAAATGACAATTGATTTATAAAAATATAATCTTTCTTCAATTGCAAATTAAGAAAAATGCACTATGAATGACGTTTAATTAAATGATTAAATGTATGTTTATGCAAACGCATATGTAATAAAAAAATACAACAAAAAAAAAAAAAAAAAAAAAAGAACAAATTATATTTTCTGTTCTTTACGCAAATTATATCAATGAAAAAAAAAGAAAACTCACCAAGGTGCGATACAAAAACTCGCTTAAAGAAAAGGAATAATAAAAATTAGATGATAACGAAAATGCGTCTTACAATAAATACATTTTACTTAATATAAACTATATTAATAATATTTCACACTCTACAAAACAAAATAAACAAAATATTATAAAAAAAAGAATAAGAGAACAAAAAAACAGCAATAGCCGAGGAATATAACTTCTTATTAATATTTATAAGTGCAACTTACGGAAGCTGTATTGATTACGTCGTTGAAATGATAACGCAGTTATTTTTCTCCAATTACATACGATATTGTTTTTCATTCGTTTTTTCTCATACAAGCCTAGTTTATCTCGTAAATACATTTTTTTATGCGAAAAAAAAATAACGTATTTGTTATGTACATACAACTAATAAGTTAAGAAAAGCAACTAACACAAAAAGAAAAACAAAAAACATTTAAAGATAAAAATTAGAAAAAAAAAAGAATTGAAAGTTAGATAATGAAATGAGAGATAACACTCATCACTATTAGGCTATTATTATCCTTATGAGTGAAGAAACTTTTAAAATACCTAACCATATAATATAATATAGTAAATCTTCAACGCTTGCGCGTTGTGACTAAACGCTCAGCTGATTTCACTAGACAGACGATAATAGCAAGAGTGGGGGAATAATGAAGAATGGGGGAATAAAGAAGAGTGGGGAGAATGGAGAACCACGTGATTTCGCACTATAGTAAAACTATAGCCGCGCTAATCGCGTACTATTTCTTCTTTAATTTTTTAAATGTCATTAGCTAGATTACAAAGGTAATCTACACACACAAAAAAAAAAAATATATATATATATATAATACCTGGTTAATATATATAGCCGTCTATGAATTAATTTTTTCCGAATTTAAATGACTTCATTTTCTATTGTAATTTTTCCAATTAAATTAACATGTGAAATAAATTCGAGGTCAACGAGGTACGACTTTGTAAGTTTATACGTTTTTTAAATTTTTCAGTGTTATCATTACACTAATAGATAAGACGAAATGGTAATAAAATCTTACGCAAATTTAAAAAGTTACTATCATTTGATAAATGTACTTTAGTAATATTTGTTTGTGTTTACAATATGTTTTATCTATAAGAAGAAACGAAGCTACTTTTCCAACGATAATAATAGTTGTTTGCAATTTTGTTATAAGTACACCTGGGTATCCAAGAGCTTAGCAACGATAAAATAAAACTTAAAAGGATTTATTCAGGTAACAAACTATGTCTTGAATCTATTCTAATGTGAATCACCCCGGCAAAGCTTATGACTCACAATGAATGGAGGAGACAATAGGCTTGACTAGTGCTGCACGATGATTTTATCTATGATCAAACGTATTAACAATAAATATATTTGATTTATTGGTATGCGCACGAGTAACAATATTAATTAATATTGACATAAGTGATTCTATTAAACAATACTTATGAACATAAACAATATAGATGTACTACGATTAAAATATAGAAATAATTTTCGGTTGATTAATTGTTTCATCTAATGAAGAAAGGTACGTTTGATAAAGAAAAAAAAAAAAACCAACACGAACGTATCATTTCCATTTCATACGGTTTGTTGATTCAATGATACATTATACGTGTGTGTCTCTATGTGCGTATGTATTTTATATATGATGTATATGAGAGAAAGAAAGATGAGCGTAAATTTAATAGTACGAGCTTATTGCTTGGAAAATTCTAGACGTAGAACCATCTGTTCAGTATTGAATTACAGAGTTCGTAGTCCTCATTGACAATTTTTGTTGCTATTATTGTCGTTTTACTATCCTTATAAGCGCGAGAAAGTTTAACTGTTAAAATATTCGTCCATACATATGTACGGGTGCGCGAAAGTGTCTGCATAAAATGTATGTATAGTATATATTTGTATATACATGTATTTATATTTAGTGCATATGATTAGAACGAATTTGAGTCGTTGCATTGAGTGCAATTTTTAATCTTAAAAATGACTAAACGTGCATGTGCCAAATATGAGATAATTACAATTGATGTTGAGAAATTAAAGTGAAAATAAATCTATTTATAAATTAACAAAAAATATATGGGGTTACCTATTATTGCTATCAGCACGTCGATCAGGATTACCCAGCGTATCGTGTTCTTGCAAACACTCATGATCTTGGGTATCGTTTGGTTTTCCACCACGTTACCCGCCTTATCAATTGCTATTCCTTCTTCCAACGAGGTTGTACTGCACCGAGTCAGCTGTTCAGTCGATCTCTATTCGAACAAAATTAATTTTTCATTCATTTTATTATTATTTTATTTGTAATATATTGTAAATAAATAATTATATTTATCTTTTAATAATATCCTTATGCAAAAAATAAAATTATAATAAATATAATAATATTTTTTATTAATTATAATAATTGATATCAAGTATTTTTTTTTAATCCGAAATATATCACTTTTTAATTATTCACATTAAATCTATTATTTTTTTTTTATTTATAAATTTTATGACAGCCTAGAATGATAAAAGAAAATAATATTTGTGTAAAGTTTTCTATTATCTTTGTTTAATTAATGCTAAATACGTAAGTTAATCTGATTACATATCAATCTTGTCATTATCTAATTTATTTTCGTCATCTTATCGTATTTTGTAATAAAAAAAAAACAAAAAAAAACTAAAATCTGCATATATTTAATACGTGAAAGAACATTGACATGAGAGAAAGAAACGTGCGGTCATTTTTCTTTCCTTGCAACTCGAAACTGCATTAAGATTGAATCAACTTTCTACCGCAAACCGCGAAAAGTAATGCGATCGGTCAATTTGTCCGAAGAATTGCACATTTCTTTTCCTTTTCATTCTTTTTAATCCAAAGTGATAAGCAACCGTTGATAAATGTTTCTTTTTAATTAAATACAGTTAACGAGAATTATGCTGACTATTCATAATTGTTTACACATTAATTCGAATTAATGTTTATAATAATAAAAACAAAAAATTCTCGTATATTTAAACGAATGCATACAACGAAAACAAAAAATACAAGGGAAAAACTTTAGAATCTAACTTTTACAATAATTCAAACACATTTTTTACAAATAACACACGCGTACATAAATAATTCAATGCAATATAGTATTATTATTAATAATAATAAAAAAATTGATAATTGAAACAAATTGCAATGAGAATGCAGAATTTAGAATAAATTCTCCACACCGTATTTGATCTTGAAAGCATGCTGCTGATTCAGTAAGACAATAATAATAACAATAACAACAATAATAATAATCATAATAATAATAAGATGGTGTCTGCTTACGGGTGAAAGAGCAAGCCCTAATTATGAGTGAAACGTTCGTCGAGCTCGAGATTGTACTGAATGAATCGTACGTTGAAGTATGGTGTGTGTTAGCAGTGTGGCTAATACGTTCTTGTAGGTTCATTGAAGAAGTTAGGAGAAAACTCAGAATGAGAGACAGACAGACAAACAGAGAGAAAGAGAAAGACAGAGAGAGAGTGAAAGAGAAAAACGATCTTCACAGGCACGATCGTAAATGCGATCTTCACGCGTTAACAACCACCATTATCGTCAGCACCATCAGCACCATCATAACCATCGTCATCATCATAGTGATGGTAATCATCGTCACCGTGATCCTAGTCATGATGACGACAATAAAAAGACTCCTTTTAATAGGATTCGTTTCTAGTAAGTGTGAGTATTCGAATTTTGATTCTTAGTATTATTGGAAAACCTTTTAAGGGTCTTCGAACATGTTGACTTGGTCATATGTGGAATTATTGTAAGATGACTCAACTGATTTATGAATTTAGTGTTAGGAGTTCGTTATTTTTGTTTTTTTTATATCCTTATTTGATCAACGCGTTCTATCGATTGTAATAGGAATAATAATGTTTTCGTTTAATTAGGTTAGTTTATTTTTTTGTATACATTTTAATCTTGAACGCAATACTGATTTTATTGTAAATGTTTCGATCATTTATTTTATAAAATACTGGCTAATATTAAGTACAATATATATTGAAAGATATTAATCTGTTATGAACTATAATAATTATAATTATTAATAGCATTAATAGTAATCTATACTAATGCATAACTACCATGCAATTACATAATTCATATATCAATTTCTATTACTAATTGTAATAATAATAATTTGTTAATTCAAATAAAAATACAAATAATACATTGTAATTATTAATAACGATTGATGACTATAATAAGTGACATGATTATTACAAAAAAAAATAATATAAAAATTAAAAATAAGAAAAAAAAAAAGGTGGAAGTATAAGAATATAAACGTGTAATTAAATATTGAAATACTTCAACTAAAAAGATTGTTCTACAAATTTGAAAATAGCGTCACATCCCTTAATGTAATTATTAATATTATAATCATTAATGCCTATTGTGTTGAATGTACGATTACTATAAAAAAAGAAAAAACCAGACAGGAAGGAAGAAGAATAAACGTGTATATAAAAAAACAAGTACTTAAGTACTTAAAAAGTACACGGTCCTAAAAATTGGAATATGTCGGTGCACCCCCTTAAGATCGGAAGCAACGAAGCGTGAATTATCCCGGGGAAGTTGACGCATCCTCGAAAAACGAAATGAAACGGATGGACTTGTAGCATAAGTGCTTCAAGAGAAAGAAAGAAAGAAAGAAAGAGAGAGAGAGAGAGAGAGAGAGAGCAATTATTCGCAGTTCCTCAAAGGCGCCGACATAAAGGGCCCTACTTTCTCGCCATTCTCCTACATCTTGATGAACCTTCAACAACAATTTTCCCTTCCTTTTCTTCTATTTGATTTTTTTTTTTCTAAAAATCTTCGTTTATCTAATGCAACCCCACGCAAACTAATCCACCCCCTTTCAAACTTTTCAGAGTAAAGGGAGATAAAAAGGTTTCCCATCTTTTCAGTGTTTGCGTCTACGTACATCGAGGATGGGGTCGGTGACGGGGGAAGGAGGGGGAGAACGACGAGAAGAAATGTTTTTAATCACACTTAGCGAAAAATTAAAATTAAAAAAAAATATATATATAATAAAGAACAATAGACATGAAATATTCGCCGTACACTTCAATAAGAAGTTAATAGAAAAAATTTATTTGTTTATTAAATTTTATTATTATTATTATTATTATAATTATAATAAATAGACGTGTTTGTTTTGTATTTAAACAAAAAATTGTTAATTAAAATTTAATTTCGATATCATAAAAAAAAAAGAAATATAAAAAGATTGCTTCGACCTTTTTTTTTTTGTATTCGGCAAAGGGACGATAATTACTTTCGTTGTCGCGTCACATTCGAAACTCACCCCCCAACCCTTCTTTTGCCCCTTTCTTCTTTCTTTTTTTCCTTTTTCTTTTCTCGTTTTGTTCGTCGTCACGAAATTTCTTTCGATATTATTTTTCTGACGGGTTCGTAGAAGCAACGAGCAAACACTTTGCTAACGTCGACAAATGTCTCCTTCTCCTCCTCCTCCTCCTCCTCCTCCTCCTCCTCCTCCCCTTCCTCTTCATACTCAACCCTTTACAATCGTTTCAGTGTAATCGTGATATAAAAAAAAAAAAAAAAAGAAAGAAAGGGTGAGAGGGAGGGAGAAACAAAAGACAACAGGCGGATGCTGTCGTTTCACGTGTCTCCGAGTTAGCAGTGACAGGCTGAAAGCTTACGCTTGCTTTATTATAATTTGTCATCGTTGACAAAATCTTAGAACGATTATTATTAACCATTTGAACTTTTGTATGAGCCAATAGATGATGATTATATAGATTTGTTATTAATCTAAAAAAAAAAAAAAAAAATTCATCAAAATAATTCAAATATGATAAAGTAATTTTAACAAATCAAACTTCTCCTCCAAAATAAATAAATAAATAAATAATAGTAAATATAAAATTATATGACATGTGTGCTAGTCAATAAAAAATCGTTTATGTGTGCATGCGTGTTGTATTATAATTTGTATAAAAAAATCACTCACCCGAAACTTTCTTTGATATCAATCTTCCGTACGAATAAAATGAAAAAAATAAAAAATAAAAGAAAAAACAAGAATTTTATGACACAAAAAAAGTGTGATTATAATAAATAAATTAAATTAAAAAGAGACTTGCGCTGATATTTTTTATTTTAACGAGAATAATATGTGGTCTATAATAATACTAATAATAATAATAATAATAATAGTAATGGTTGTAAAGCACAGTGATGTTTCCGCGTTGACGTTCGAGAAGCAACTGCAACTTTTAATAGTGGTTTTCAAACCACCAACAAGCAACCCATGCAAATCGAAGCCGAATAAAGCCGAGTCGAGAGAAAGACATGAAGTCGATACGTTCGTGATCTCGTTTTTAATTCTGTTTTATTATTATTTTTTTTTTTTTCTGTAAATAATCGTTAAGCAAATCAAACGATAATATTTCATTAAAATGAAACGATCAATTAAATAAAATTACTTATAAACAAGCGCGTTTATAAATGTTCAATATAAAATAATCAAATATATCTGATCGATCATAGATAGTTATTATTATTATTTGTTGCATTGTAAATTAATTGTTTCCGTTTGATTTAACAAACGACAAACTAAACGAGTTATATGTATTTTTGTAATCTTTTTTACTGTAAAAAACAAAATTGTATATATTAAGACAATATCATGTATTACAATTTTCTTTCTTAGTTTCGTGTTGATTCTTTTTTTTGACGCTTGTAATTTTATTTTATTGTAAAAATCAAAATTTGACGTATCGTGCATTTTACATTTCTTCTTCTCACCTTTCTCTTTCTTTCCTTATTTATTCCTTTTTTCTGCCAATTGTAAATTTCATTCGTTTGTAAAAAGAAAAATTTTCATGCACGTTTCACTTCTTCTGTTTTTTTTTCTTTTTCTCTTAAGTTTTTAACTTAATTAAAGTAAAATTCAAAAGAGAGGGGGTTAACTTGGAATGCAAGATGTATCGTGCCACAAACGAGATACGTGTTAGGAACGTATGACAGTAGTTAAGGGTTAATAACGTTTGTCTATGAAACGCGATAACATCCGCATTTTCAGAGGGGACATCTCTCTCTCTCTCTCTCTCTCTCTCTCTCGCTCTCTTTCACTCTCTCACTCGAAAGAAAAAAGAAAGAGAGAGAGAGAGAGAGAGAGAGTGCGCTTGCGCGCACGCGAACTACCAACCGTGCACTTTTAGCTTAACTCGGCTGTCATTATGAAATAATTAAAAGGGAAAAGCTTATAATCTAACTTAAAAAGAGGGTTCGTACGGCAATGAGGAACTTCGTTCCACTGCTCTCATTTGAAACTCTCGTCTTGTTTCGATCACGTTAACGATTACTACCTTGACTATAATCACGGAACAAATTATAATCATAGACGATAGAAATCACTTTTTCTTTTCTTTTTTTTTTATTTTTTCTTCAATTAAACAAATACAAAAGTATGCTACTCGATTATTCCTTTATACATGACAAACCTCTAAATAAATCATATATGTTTTGCGTTTCTTTTTTTATTAATCTCTTTTGATGTTTTTTATTAGATAATAAGATTAATTTCTCTTTTTTGACCGAAATATAAATTCGAAGATATATATAATAATCTCGAAAAATGATTAAATTATTTTATTAATCTTTATTTTATTATATATATTAGATATTTAGATAATGAGATACTTTTGTATATAATATTTTTGTTTTTTATTATTATTATTATACGATAAATATTAAAGTAACTACAAACGAATTTTATTATATTCTTTGTACGAGTACGTGCCACGCACGAAACTGTAAATTCTTTTTAATTCTTTTTTTTTTTTCTCCATAATTCTTTGTATAAAGAAAAAGTGTAAATTTTGTAATGAAATTTACATTGTCGACTGGTGAAATATGCATGGATGTATTTGAGATAAAGAAAGAAACAATATACGTTTGAATACTTGTCCACAGTATAATTTTGAACGGATTAAACGGAATATTGGAGAGCTTCTCTCCCCTATACCTTAATGTGTGGGTGTCTGTTCGTGTGGGTGTGTATGTATATATACAAATGAGTAGGTGTACTCTGGGCCTGATACTTGGTTACATGGGGGTTCTCGAAACATGCTCAAAAGATCCAGGAATAGCTAGCTAACTGGCTGGCCCTGCATCGAGGACATCTTGCTTTCTGTTTGATAAATCTCCAAGTGTATGCTTTTCAAGACACGTACAAATATAAAAACGAAAATAGTGAGGGAATAACAAAATAACAAAAAATAATAAAAAGAAATAAAAATTAATTAAATTCTACGTAACACACGTGACTTTTGAACAAAATTTTTCTCGTAATATTTCTTTTTAAACATAAACGTACCTCTTTTAACGTTCAAATAATTTCTACAAATATTTATACAAAAAAGAAATAAATTTAAAACGAATAAAAATGTAAAGTAAGATAATAACAATAACAAAATAAAAATTAATCACATTCGACGTAAAGTACTTTTAAACAAAATTATTGTTGGAATTTTTCTTTTTTAACACGAACGTTCCTTACTATTTCGTTCAAATAGTTTCTATCACGTATTCGTGAAATAAAAAAAAACAATAAAGGTATTCAACGAAGAGTGTGTATGTGTGTGTGTGTTTGAAATGATAAAATATATATCATATCTAAGATAACGTACTTATCGAAAATATAATTTTAAGTTAGTATCTGAAATATTATATGATAAGAATAGGATTAATATAAAAGAATATTCGTATTCAATACGATGCATCTTAAATTAAATTTGTTTTATCTTTCGATCTTAATAATTTATACATGTAAAAAAAAAAACTATAAGTGAATATGTATCATAAGAATGAATCAGATAATCGATCCTTTTCTTAAGAAAAATTCATCTCATTCTTATGATAATTTTATTTTGAAGAATTTCATTTTCATTCCATCTAAATCATCTTACATTAGATATGGTAGATACATCATGCATACAAATTTTATTCTAATGAATATATTATATAGAATCAAATAATTACAAACAGAAAAAAAACATTCAAAAGCGTATAAATAAATGTTCTATTCATTCATTATTATTAATATAATAAAATAAATGAATCAGTACTGTAAACATTTTATTAATACTTTAATTTATATATATATAAATAAATAAAAAATAAATATATTATTTCTTGAATGTGTTATATATTATATTTATAAATCAAAAATACCTGAATAGAGGACGTGCATGTACGTAGTTTCGATTAAAAAAAAACAATAGTTGTCCATCAAAGTCTTTATGGGGGAGAAAATTCACAGGGATATATCGTAAATCCATTAACGACCATGGACTCCCTTGTGCGAACTTTAGCGATAATTCGAGAAGACATAGAGAGATATCGTCCTGGTGCGATAAACAGGGATCCTTTTTCTTTTAACACTTCTTTGTCCTACGCCCACTATCATTTCACGAAATACACATGATAACAACAACAACAACAACAAAAAACCCCTCGACGAAAGATACTTAATTATATAATAATAATACAAAAATAAACAAAAATAAATGAATTCAATTAAAATCAATATAAAACAAAAATAATGAAATTGAATTTAATGTTGTGAAGAAGAAACCAAAAAAAATCAAATAAATATAGAAAAATGAAGTAAGAATTTAAGTAAATTAGCAACATTAAATAAATAGATAAACAATAAAATAGATAGAACAATGGGATGTAAGGTCCGTGTTGTTCAGTCTAACGAAATCGAGCGCTGAACTTCAACTAGCGTATCTCTCATCTTGAATCAACGACTTCCTCGCAAGCTCAAATTAAATGCTCCTACCCACCCTCACGTCTTCCCACTCTTACAACGAGGAGGGAGGGATTCCACGCGCCGCCACAACTCCTGGACTGACTGACTGACTGACTGAGTGAGTAACTCAGTGAGTGAGTGAGTGAGTGAGTGAGTAAGTGAGTAACTGACTGATGTGAGTGAGTTACTGACTATGAGTGAGTGAGTGAGTGAGTTAGTAAGCAAGCACGTTAGTGCGCGTGTTCCAACTAAACTACTGGGGTAAACGAAACCTTTTCCTTGCAGCTGGTTAATCCTACGCAAACTATTACTCCTTTCGTCCTTTTCTCCTTCTCTTTCTCTTTTTTTTCTATTTCTTTCTCTTTCTTTCTTTATCCTTTAAAGGAATTACGTGTAAAAGGAAACGGACTGGTATACAGTACCGAATAAAAACATATGGCCCTAGATTTTATTTTATTATAAGATTGTTTTCTTTTTTCGTGTGTGTAAATTTGACGAAAGAATCTCTACGATGATTTTATTAATTTTTTTTTTAAATAATTATATATCTGTGTGTTTAATTAAATACACAATATATTTCTATTCAAAACCCGAATTAAAAAACTTTTCTATTTTGTTCTCCAATATTTAATTCGCAAAAAAACATATTCTTTAGTATCAGAATTTATAATTCTAATTTAAATCCAAATATTTACAAATCCCGTGTTTTTATTTTCGTATTTCTGCTTTTTTTTTTTCATCATTTTCAACATTAATATCAACCGAAAACAAGTAAAGTCACGTGAAAGCTAAGATAATAAGATAGAAATAAAAAAGAAACTTCGAGACGTAAACTCGATGACCTTAATATAAATCATGTATCTCTCTCTCTCTCTCTCTCTCTCTCTCTCTCTCTCTCTCTCTCTCTCTCTCTTTTCTTTCTTTTTCTTCGTATGTTAGAACGAAATTCTTATACGATCATAATCATCGAACGTTACTAATTTTCTTTTGAAAATCGATATATCGTTAGATTCCTATTATAGTTAATTTTCACGGCAACGTAATACGTTATTCTGATAAAAGCTACGCCTTCCTTATTACTCATTGCTCTCACTATCGCGATAGAGAATAATCACATGTAATTTTTTCATTTTTATTTATTTATTTTCTTTAACATATTTATCTATCGATACGTTTTGTGTGTTACCATATAATATAAATTATTCATTTAGCTATGTATTGTTACATGTCACTAATAATCTTGTTGCTGATGCAACTATAAACTGGTAATAAAAAACAAAACAAAACAAAAAATTATTCATTGAAGTAATTTATGCTAATGTTTGATCGTATCTCTAACGAATATTTAATAAGATGATTTTTTCTTTCGTGATTTTGTGAATATTAGATAAAAAGAAATTAAATTCTCGTTTAACACGAATATTTGATTATCTCTTATCTTATCATAAATTATCGTTTATTTATCATTGATTGTTGTTAAATGAAAAATTAATAATGTATAACAATATTTTCACAGATATATAAATATATGTTATGCTATTTTATTCTTTATGCGTAAAATCGTTTTAAAATGTCGCCATTTTCTACGCGAAACTTGAAGATCGAAGCAATCAAAAAAAAAAAAAAAGATAAATACTAATTGTTTTTTTATTATACAATCCCAAGAAAAAATTAGTAATGTATTCATTTATAATATGAATAAACATAAATAAATTATAGATGAATATTTTTTTTATGTAATAAATTTATACGACGAGCTGTTTGCAAAATGGCGCGAATTACTAAAACTAAAATGCAAAAGAACAAGAAAAATGCATCCTTAGACAAATAGGACTACGAAGAATACGAATTGAAAATTATTATTTATCATAAAAATACTATTAAAACGTGAAAAATATATAAATTTAAGGAAAATTTCAGACTTAATGAATATTACGTACAAAACATAGAATCATGCGTTAACGATTTCAAATATTCATTACGGTGTTTTCTTAGCAAACGAGAACGTATTTGGAATGAATATTTGTTTCTTTCACACTCTCGTATAAGAAAATTATACGATAGAAAAACGTGAAATTGCATTTAATGCTGTCATTCCATTCCGTTTGTCTATCCTTTTCTAGGTTTCCCCTATTTTTATCATTTACAACCTTTCCTCTTTTTCTCTCCGTCTCTCCTTTTGTACATAACAAAATACGCAAAGGAAAAAAATCACACGTATCACGCTCAAAGGAAAAAACCATTGATAGTATCCTTAACTTATACGTCAAAGAAAATACAAAAAACAAAACCAAGACTTTTAAAATGATTAATTCTGAATTAACGATGCGTGTGACTCATGTTCGAATAATTTCTAAAGAAATCTTTTTTAAATATTTTACTAGTGAAAGTTAATAGCTAAATTGTAAATGTAAAAAACAATTTATATAGACAATATATTAAAAATCTAAAAACTATATAAATCTCCGTTTTGTGTTGTATAGATAATTAACATTATTATAATTATTCTTCTTGAAATAAAATTTAAAATATAAAACATATATTATTATTAATAAATATAAAGTTGTGGTTTAAACTTTCATTATGTTAAATAAAAAATTAACACATTTCTCTTCTAAAAATAAAATGTAAATAAATACAAAATAAATATATATATATAAATAAATAATTAATTAATTAAATAAATTTGTTCTCTAACCTGCATTTTGTTGTATAGGTGGTTAATGTTTTGATTTTCCAACACTCACTATGTTTCTTCGTATAAACATATGTGCATATATGTATATATATTTATGTATATATATTTATGTATATATATTTATGTATATATGTATATACAAATATATAGATATATAGATAAATGTTTATCTCTTATTTTGCTTTTCTCTTTTTCTAATAAAAATAACACTACGTTAAATCGGTTTAAGATTTCATTGCGGTGACTCGAATGAGACGAAGAAGCAAGTATAATATATTAGATTTAAGAGTCACTGACACCAACGCCATAACACACACTACGAATATGAACATGCACGATTCACTTCTGAAACTTAAAAGGTACGTCAGTACTGTTTTTCTTCTTTATTTTCTCTTTCTCCCTCTCTCCCTCATCTCGTTCCACGCTGTGATTTTCACCTTTGAATATGCGATTACCAAGAGTGGCATGCAAACATTCTTGCACAACGAATTTCACCATTTTCTTTTTTATTTTTTTTCAATTTATTTCCCATTCTTTTGTCATTAAATTATAAGACAAATTTGTTAAAGTTTATATAAATATATACTCATCAGTTTAACTTATTCGATCAATATTTTTAAGCATTTTTTTTATTTAAACATTTTTATTGAAATAGTTTTTAATAAAATAAATGGTCAGTATGAATATTTACTGTTTGTTATAATTAATAATTTGTCAGAATTTATATATTAGGATAAGGATTATATTTATTGATGCATATATATATATACTATTATTTAATTATAAATATTAATTAACTAACCATTTATTTTTAAAATAATAAAAATGTTTATAAATATATACTCACTTAATAAATAGCAGCCTTCATTTCATTTTACTTTGTTTGTTTCTTCTACAATAATTAGTTCGTTAGCATTTGAATCATATTGTCTAATGTTTATTCAAACATACAAGTATCGAATAATAAAGAATAAATTGCATGTTTAAATATTTATACACATTACGTATATAGAAAAATAATAAAAATAAACTCTAGAGCTTGAAATCTTTTTATCAAAAGTAACTTATACACAATTATTTGATATTAAACTACATATGTAACTATAATTTATGTTAAAAATAATTTAATACAAAAAAATATCTACAAGTTTACCTCGATTTTGTACTAATATTATTATCGAGATACAATGTCAAAAAAGTGATAAGATAAAAAATACATAACACGTTAGTTTACATATTATGAAATTGTTTGAATATTGTATAAATTGTTTGTATCTATGCAAAATTATTCCTTTTCTTTTTTATAGAAAGGAAAGAAGTTCAAAATATTAATACATACTAATAATAATAATAATACAAATAATAATAAAAATAGAAAATAAGTCAAATTCAAAAAGTAATTTTTACAATATTTTACAAATGCTTATTTGATCAATCATTCATATTTTATGTTGTATAAATTTATCATATTGAATATTATATATATCGTCATATTATTGAAAAAATGGTTGCCCAATCTAGAATAATAATGCTTGTGTATGAAAAATTATATTCAAAATTGAGTAACATTTCTATAGTTAATATTTTATATTTATATATTATACAGGGTCTTTCACTTAATTAGATCACCTTAAATATATCGCTTATTTCATACAATAGAAAAAAATGTCACAGGTAGAAAATATTCTGTTCGAAGGCGTCAATACGGTGATAGGCCGAATTGTTTTCTCAAGGTAATTTTTTTCGAGATATCATCAAATGTTTGTCAGGAATTTCAGTACGCGCTCGGAGGACAGCAAATGAAGAAGCTAAAATTCGCTAAAAATTCGGCCTTTCATTATATCGGCGCCTTCGAATAGAATATTTTTTTCCTCTGATATTTTTTTCTATCGTATGAAATAAACGAGAAATTTTAGGTGGTTGAGTTAGGCGAAAGACCCTATATATATAAATATAAAATATATGTATATATATATTGTATATATATATTAATATATATAATAAATATATATATTAAATATATGTATATATATGTATATATATATATATATATATATATATATTATATACGTATAAATGTTTATAAAGTCTATGCTATATAATAAACCTGTTTATCGTTTAAAATCGTATTTTACCTAAATCATTATTAAACAGTCAAAAACAAAAATATTAAAATAATCTAAACTAAACACATATGTAAATGCCCCGTTATTTTAATACAATTAGAAAATCTATTCTTAAATAACGTATAATATGTATATATATATAACGAACTAATACATTTTACACAAGATATTTCAATCTTTAGAAATGAAATTTCTTTACTCTTTTCGATTGAGAGAAAAACTAAAAGAAATCTGCAATATAATTAATAACACAAATTTCTCTTTCTTTTTCTTTCTATTCGTTTTCTTTTTTCACTGCGATTGATTGAATATCCGAAGAAACGTTAGGTGTCATAGTCAAGACTTCCGTCGAATTTGTTTCCGTAACAGCTATGTTATTTTCAACTTGATTATCGATTATATCACAGTTAGAACTAACCATATAAACTTGTAACACCGTTTTTCCTTCCTCTGGAGATTTATTAGATAAAATAACTAAAGAACCAGGTTCTACCTCACTGATATTAGGAATAGCAGATGTTATAACAGCAGGATTTACTTGATTATTGACACTGGTCAAGTTGGTGTTGCTGGAAGTAGTATTTGTAGATTTAATTATAGTTTCCTCGTCTTTAATTTCTAGTAATGTTTCTTCGGTATTATCCAATTGTTCCTCGGTGTCAATATTATCTAAGTTATTTACGTCGGGACCTTGCAATTTCCTGACTTTTGGCACTCTACCAGATCTGGTCGGTCTGATTTGATAGATCTCAGCATCGCTATCTGATTCTGGATCGGATATTAAACTTGAAGTTTTACCATTCTCTTTCGTTAGTGTTGTTGTTGTTGTTGTTGTTGTTGTTGTTATTGCTGATGTTGTTGCTGACGTTGTTGCTGCAACTTCATGCGTTTTTTTCGCACTTAATTTAAAACGTTTTCTTGGCTTCTGTAAAAACTGATTATTATTTGCTTCTACATCCTTGTATTGAATTTCTCCCATCTCTGATTCCATTACATCATCTTCATCTGATGCTATAATTTCTCCTACACTTCTCGCAGCAAATCCTACAGAGATATATTTATTATTATGTTTTGATAGATAAGAAATGTTTATGCTTCTTTTAATAATTCGTCAAAATTTAATAAAGATCATATTATGAAATAAAATTATACGCACGGGATCCTAGTCTCCTTTTTAATTTCTTTTTCTCTTTATTCTTCGTTTCCACTTCTTGTTCTGTAGAACATTGTTGTCGAATCGATGCTTCGAATTTAGCTAAAAAATGGAAATATAAAATCGTTAGAAAATGTTTTAAGAACGATCAATTTTGTTCAAATATATTTTACCTAAATCTTCCTCCATTTCAGGACTAAATTCTTGATGAAATTCTAACGCCTTTTCGATTAATCTTCTGTTTAATCTTTCCTCCTTCTTATATTTCAATTTAATCTCTTGTCGCGTTCTATTTGGAAATAAAGTTTGCATTAATAAGAAATCTGTACCGACAACATTTAACGCCTTGTAGAATTTCAATGTTTCCCATTTTGGCCATTCCTTTCCTTTTGGACGTCTTTTATAAAAGCCTGATCCATAATTGTCATCATCGACAATAGCTTTTTTGGCAAACAGTTCACGACTTTTTTTTGCATGTGATTGTTCTATTACTAAACTTTGTTCATCTATTACCAGTTGCCCATCAGCACCAACTTTAACTTGTGGCACTGGCATCGATGAAGGATCATCTTCCTCTTCTTCCTCTTCCAATTCCTTTTCAATTCTGAAATACGATTAAAAAATTTATCCTGTATTTAATATAATTTTTCCCTAAAATTAATAAAATTAATTATACTCACTCAGAAATAGATTCTGTTCTTGTGGAACTCTTAACAGGTTCATTAGATGTTTTCATAGGATTGCCAACAGGATTATAATATATTAAATCATACATAGTAAGCTTCGCTCTATCTGGTGTTTTGTTTTCATGCTTTAATAAAAATTCTCTTCTAGCTTCTGCTAACTTTCTTGCTGATTCTGATATCAATATACGTCTCTTCTGACTAGTTTTTGTTTTAGTAACGGTATTGCTCGGTGTGTTATTAGAAATTTCTTTGTTACTTTGAACTGAACATATAGAATCGTTGCGCGTTCTATTATTTGTTGCATTATTAATTACCCTCTTACTATCATCTTCAGATTCGCTTGCACTAGCTCCGCTACCATGAATACTGTTACTTCTTATTCGACCACTGTTATTTAATCTTGGTACAGGTCTCATAAATAATGATCGATTTTGTCCAGTCTTCGTGGGAGATCCAAACACTGAATTCAAATTATAGTTAATATATTTTGTTTAATAATTATCTACTTAAAATAACTTACCATTTATATTTGTATTAGAATATTCAAAAGGGTCCGTAACTTGTGGAGTGATCTGCTCTACCGACTCAGGCTTAATGCTTTGTTCCTTTATAACACATGTTTTCTCTGTTTCTTGAGATTTGGTTACAATTGTTATTTCTTTAATGTTTGATTCATCCGATTCACAGATCGATTTAGAAACACTTGCAAGTATATCAATTTCGTTAATATCTTTTAATACTTCTTTATTATAGTTAGTATCAATAGTATCATTAGTAACATTATTATCATTATTTATATTAATAGCATTAATAATATTATTCTCATTATTAATATTCTCCTGAATATCATTATTTACATTCCTGTCATTATTTTTATTAATATCATTAGTAGTATTATTCTCATTATTAATATTCTCTTGATTATTGATATCCTTAGGAATATCACTATTTACATTATTATCATTACTTTTGTTGATATCGTTAATAATATTATTTTCACTATTAGTATTCTCATGATAATTACTATTCTTAGGAGTATCATTATTCATATTATTATCATTATCTTTATTTTCATTTGTTTCATTATCGTTAGAATTATTTGTTTCATCTTTAACTGCACTTTGTGGCGCCTTTCGACGCACTGGTACTGTGGCCACCGCTTTTATTCTTGCACGTCTCATCTTAAGAGATGCTTGTTAGATATTTAAAAAATCTATACAAAATATAAAAAAGATAATAAATAAATATCATTTAATTGTTCACATATTTAACGTATGTAGGGTGTCCCAGTTGTCTTCTACAGAATTTTACCGTCATATTCTATAAGTGAAAATAGGTAAAATTTTATAAAAAGAAACTGGGGCAACTAATATATATAATAAAATAAAAAATATACCATACCCGTTATTAATATAGTTCCTAGTTTATAATAAAAAATTAAGAATATACGTGTCACTATCTTGTTTGTAATTATTCATTTTAATTGTCATATAAATATATATGATTAATATCTATGCTTAAGATAACCTGAAAATAATAAAAATAAATATATCTTTAATAATTACATTATCTTAAACTAGATTAATAGTACTATACTAATAATAAAAAATAGATTAATAATACATTACCTAATATTAGCAGGTAAAATAAATAACAAATTCATTCGTCTAGATATAAATGCTCCAGCGTATTTAAAGTGACAGCTGGAAGAGTTATAATTTTTTCTTCCATCTTATATTTCTCAAATAAGAATATCAAGAAAAATGAATTAGTCGAAAATAACCTTACTTTATGGATAAAAATTTTCGATATTAAATAACAAGATTAAATAAAATTTTAAATATTATGCTATTAAACGATAAATTCGTACAAATAACCTCATATCAAAACACTTTATCCTTCAATCAATTACTGTATATTACAAAGGTATAATATGTACGTCGTTTACTCTGTAGTATGTAATACCAACTTTAAGACGGTCCATTTATATAAAATCGATATTTTTGTTCATTCATTTATTGTAAGATTTTAAATTCTTTATATTGTATGACAAGAAATTCTATTAGTGATTAATTGTCGATAAAAATGATTCGAATTGTTTTAAAAGTGGTCGAAATAAAGCAAGAAGAAAATCATTATAATTTTGTATATGCTTACAACGTTATCAAGCATTACTATTGCGTGTTAAAGTGCCTACAATAATGTTCAGATGGCGCAACGATGTATTGCGAATTGTACTCGTAATAAGACTAACTGTTCAGTACTAATAACGGTCAAAGTGATATCTGAATGAATGTCAGTCAAAAATGTTAATAAATCAATTTTACAATAATTAAATCTGCATAATGTTTATAAAAACTTGTAGAATAAAACATAAATTTTGTTATTTTAAACAAACAGTAAGAAGTTTATTCAAAATATTTAAACTTTCTAAGAGAGAAGTACACACCGTTCCCAAAGAAGGACCATGGAGTGTATTATTTTTTGGAGTTGATGATTTTTCTTTAGAAAGTTTAAAAGGTTTACATGAAGAATAGTTAGTTTTTAATTTTAATTATATCGTTATTCTCCATTGTTTTATAAATAATACTATGTAAAATATAAAAATGATACTAACAGATATTATATATTGAATAAAATTACTCTAAACTATTTACATTATTTTACTCGCATTGAATTGACGGTAGATATATTTTTATTGTATAGCAAATTAAAGACACTATGTCGACTGGAAATTGTTACGACACAAAAAAATAAAAAACATAAATTTATAAATTATGCAATGCAACATGGAATTACAATGAGAGCCTGGCCTGTAACATTTGATATAAAAGATTTTCATATAGGAGTTGTCGTTTCCTTCGGTCATTTAATACCAAAGCATATAATTAATTCATTTCCATTGTAAGTGCACTCTTATTTTGGGCTTATATGATTATCAATTAAATTTCTTTGCTCTGTTGAATAAATAGTTATTTAATTAATGAAATTAATGTACATTATTTATTATGTTTTAAGAGGCATGTTAAATGTTCATGGAAGTTTATTACCAAAGTGGAGAGGAGCATCACCCATTACATATGCTTTAAAAAATGGAGATACGCATACAGGTGTTACAATAATGAATATATTGCCAACAAAGTAATTTTTATTATATTACAAACAAGAGTCGTCGTTTTTATAAAAAAAAAAAAGGAAAATTGAAAACAAAAAGATTGATCACTCAAATATTGTTCTCTTATCGACTATTTATTGCATTATATTATTTGTATGAGCCATTATTGTTTTCAAAAGAAAGAGTTAAAATTTTAAGCTTATAATGATTATTAATTTAAAGAAATAAACAAATGGAAATAAAAGAGCCGTTGTAATATTCAAACTATTAGTATAATTGTTAACACATTCGTAACTATAATTAATACAATTTCAATTTTAATAACATAACGTATTATAAGAAATACTTCATAAAATAAAATTAATCATTTAAGTCTCACAATCAGGAGTCTTTAGAAAAATTCTGTCAACAAGTGCCAAACAGGGTGACAATGTATCGCTTTTACATTGCATTTTACTAACGTGGCACTTTCTGACAAAAAATCTGAACAGCACTATTGTGCCGTTTGAGACTTGAATGATTAATATTCTATTTCTTTTCTTTTTTTTCTTTCAAAAAAAGAATCAAATTCATAATTTTTAATATTTCTTTGTATATGGCAATACTTTAAAGATATGTGTGATCTTTCAGGATTTGGATATACAATTATCGAGTATAATAAAATATAAATAATGTGTGTAATAAATATTAAAGTGGTTTTAATGTTAACTATTTATCTTTTATCATTTTTTAGATTTGATATTGGAGAGATAATAGCACAGGAACAAACGAGTATTCATCCAGATGAAACTTTACCAGAATTACGTTCTAAACTAGCAAAAATCGGAGCAAATCTTCTAATCGAGACAATTAAAAAATTGCCATCGGTGTTATCAAATGGAAGACCTCAAAACGAAAAGGAGGCAACGTATGGTAGTTAAACATATTATTTACAATTGTTTTTTTTTTTAACTAAAAAGGTGAGTTAAAAAGTTTTTAGCCTTATTAAAAAAAGAACTTTAATTTTTTTTTTATATAGAAGTGAATTTAACTGGAAAGGTTATTTCCAACAAAAAAAATTGTTACTATATTGGGCCCAAAACTCTTCAACCCACCCACGTATATTATTATGCATTAAAATCAATTAATTTAAAACAAAAACATAAATGCTATTCTCTCATTAATTATTTTTAGCTCCCAAGCTTACACCGAAGATATCGTTGATAAAATGGGATGAAATGTCAGCTATAGATATTTACAATTTACAACGTGCTCTTATAGAATTATATCCATTAACTACAAAATTTCATGATAAAACGATTAAATTGTTAGATATACGAAAAATAGATAAACCCAGTCGTCTAACAAATTTAGAATCAAATATACCAGGTAAAAAAACATAAAATAAGAAACAAACGAAAAAATAAAAAAATCGCATAATTATTAATTTGTTACTATTATAATAATGTTAATGAAAATTTTTTTTCAACAATTTTCAGGTGTTGCGACATTCGATAAAGTTAACAAAATTTTAATAGTAAAATGTAAAAATGATAGTTGGATCTCCGTCGCTAAGTTATTTATTCCAGGACATCGTTTAATGAGTGCCAATGATTTTAACAACGGCTTCATTCTTGGTCAAAAGCAAAAGATAATTGTTTTTCAATAAAAAATATTATATTAGTTGCAACACCTTTGGAATATACACGTACTATGTAAGTAATCATTATTATTATTTATTATTATTTATTATTATTTATTATTATTTCATTTCTTTTTTTCTTTTTTCTTTTTTTTTTATAGATGCAATAAAGAAGATATGATTAACCGTGTTTATTTTTTGCAAAATGGAACACGGGGAGTTATTGTTATTTTTATTATTATTCATGTTCGTTTATATTTTAAACACATTCTTTATTCTCTTGGCACTTGAAAACGGCTGAGAAAAATAAAAACAAAACGAAACATATAAGAATATACTTTTTTAATATTATTAAATTATTTGTAAAAAGATTGAAAAGCTTTTATCAATTGAAATAGGACTAGCGTGCATCTCGTCAAGCTGGATTAAATTTTTAATTAAAAACAAAAAGAAAAAATAAGAAATGATACCTTAATAAGTTTGATGAGAGGTGGGAGAATATTCTATGTGTTAATCATTAAAGAATGCAATATAATTGTTATCGATCAACGCAGAGAGAGAACTGAAGGTATAACAAAAGAAGAGAAAAAAAAACAAAATATGAAATAATTCGTTCTAGTTAGAAACGCATATTCAATATTTGCAAGAATTATTTGTTTAGTAATACTTTTCTTCAGCCTCCGATTAATTCTGTGCGCACTCTATCATGTCAGTTAAATGTTTTTCCCACAAAATGGGAAGAATATACGACATGTTAGTAGAGTTATCGATAAATACGCCATATGGTCAGATTTATACAATAATGTATAAGCGATTAATTAATGTATTATATTTTTAAATCGTAACGTCATTTCTAAAGTAAAGTGATGATCGATTAAGTAGCTACTTTTGTTTGATTATATTTACTTTCTTATACTAATCGTAAAGAAAGGTAATCCCTTTTTAGTAGCATAGTCATTATCGTCATTATCACTTCTCAATGATATGATAGAAGGATACATTTTTCCACAACAAAATCTGATATTAATAATAATATTTCAGATTTGGAAAAATGTCCAGAATTATGTATAAAAAATACAAAAAAAAAAAGAAAAAATGTATTTACAATGAACCGAGTCGTTCATCGTTGTTAATAATAGTATTAGTTATGAAGTTCGTAAAATAGAGATGATCCACATTGTTTCATTGCTCTCTCTCTCTCTCTCTCTCTCTCTCTCTTTCTTTTTCTTTCTCAGTTTTCGTTAAATATTTATAAAAGAACCTATTAATGGCAACGTATATATTTTTAGCTGCTTATTTATTATTAAAAAAAGCAGCAGTAGTTTGCTCGCTTTATAATCTACTTTTTTGGCGAATTCTGTAATCTTACTCGTTCTTTTTCCTCCTCAGTGACAAATACTCTAGTTATCGCAATATCACCTGTACTAAGCGTTTGGCAGGCAGTATTAATCAATTCCTTGTTTTCTTTCGTTGGGCTATCATCAACTTTATCGTTTAGACATTTACAAACACATTGTCTTGGGGAAATCTCTGTACTATTTGGCGATAATTGATCGTTCGAAGATGTTGTCACAGCTGAAAGTATTGCTTCTAATTTCTCGATTTTTTCCAACCTATCCATTCGTGCATCCGATAGGATTTCATCGACCATTTGCATAGATTCGGTTAAACTTGGAGTCTCGGAATTTCTCGGTGACAATATTCCACCTACAACATCAATCATGATTCAATTATCTGACAGATAGAAAACATTACATGTAACGCAGCTGTATTTGCACAGTCTTCGCAATGCAAACTTTTATTATTTCAATATTATAAAATATACCAGAATGCGAATTCTCCGAAGTATAACTCTCCATGCTATGATAATCCGTATCCTCCATTTTATCATCATCCTCGTCGCTGCTATAATCCTTTTCTTGACCCATATTCTCTAATTTTTCTAATTTCTTAGCGACTTTGTAATTGCCCTTTAATTTCTCCTTTTCTTCCTCTGTAAGGTCTAAGTAACGAAGAAGACGAATTTCTCGGTTACTCAATACTATATTTTTATATGTTGCCTCTTCCATCTTTTTCTTTAAATCTGCTACTTCTGTCTCTACTTTTCTTTGTTTTTTACGAGCCTTTACTTCTAATGGTTTAATATGCATCAGAACTTGTTCTTCGCATAATTCTGTAAACAGACTTTGAAACTCTGGCTTGATCAACCTACAAAATATACATATAATATAAACAAGAAATTAATTTTTTTCTTAGTTTTATCAATCATAATAAATGCATAATTTACCTCGATGTAGAAAGATACACTCGAGGTACAAGACCGAGAACATCACTACTAGCATAAATCAACATATCTCTAGTCATAGGCCGACGAGACCAGTATCTTTGGTCCTTACGATAAATATTTTTTAATTGTTCCTTCAAAGGATTGGATTGTGCTCCATAGTGATCACATAAGATATTTAAATTGACATTTTTCACTTTGTACACAGGTTTTCCTGTTTCTTGGAATTGAATTACAGCATGTGCAGCCTATATAAACATATAAATTATTTTAATAATCTAATATTATTTTGATATATATAAAAGATATATTTACATACCTGCGTATCAAACACATTATTCAGCGTTACATTAAATTGATTATATAAATTAACGCTATCGTTTTTACAGTCATGTATCACCTAAGAAAATAAAATAATTTTATAAAAAATATTTTCAGTATTTATATAAAATATAAATTGTTTAAATAAGCTCACTTTGATAACTTTATCACTTTCTAAAAGTTTTTGGAGCCCACCAGCTTGCATGAGAGTTGGACATGTAAATAAATCAAAGACATAAGCTTGTCCAGTCATAGTTCCAATTTGTATAAGAGTTAATTGTCCCTTAGCACCCAAATTAATTCCTTCGCAATCAAAGGAAATAACATTATTATCAGCACGTGCTTTCCGAGGATTGATTATATCCTCTACGATCTGTAAACTTTCTTTAGGGTTTACAATTACCCTCGTCTGTTGTAATACTTTTAATTTCCACGCATCACCTTTTTGAATACTTTGTAAACTGCGATCTTTATCCGTGTTATCGGCTAACGTCTTCATTACAAGCGTATTTATTCTTTGTTTAAGCGTTTGTTGCTGTAAACTTACTAAAGGACAATTATTGTTAGACTCGACAGGTGTAGGAGACGCATTTTGAGATGTATTATTTTCAATGTTGTTGTTACATACAACATTTTCTGAATTTACTGTCTGAGAACCTGTATGCGTAGTATTTGACTGTGTCATTGGTTGTACTGCGTTTACTACTCGATTAACATTATTACTTCGATTTCGTGTCAATTGCATAGGTTTATTTTTTGTGTCTGTTTCTATCGTTGAAGACTTTCCACGTTCTAACAATGTTACAAGATTGCTTTGAACGTGAAATGTATCGGGAAACATTTTTACAAACGTTGATAAATCTCTTACTGTTTTAAATATCGACGTCCAATTTCCGGGACAAAATTTTTCATTAACCAAATTAAATAACTGATCTATAAAAATTGGACCTTTCTCTTCTATGCATTGAGCAAAAAATTGTAACAATTTAGCAGTTACTTCTGGATCAATAGGCGTATCGGGTTCTAATTCAACAAATAATTTTACTTTCATTCCTTCATATTGTTTCAACATTACATTATCTTCCGTAACTACAAAGGCACTGGGATACTTCAAGAGAAAATCTCTAAATTCTTTATAACGTTGACCAGAAATGTGTCTTACTTCTGGAGATGCTTGAGAACGATGTCCAAGTAAGCTAGTTATTGGTACCTCAGTTCCTACTCCATACTGCATCAACTTATTAGAAAAATATTCTACCGCTTCTCTCGCGTAATCGCGAGTTCCGGTTAATTTTGATCCATTGTCTTCCTCGATTATGGATTGAAAAGTATTAACAGTAACATAATCACCATTAATAATAAAAAGCGATGGATGCTGAGATAAAAATTTTTTAAGGCCACTCTGAGAACCACCAGCTATTTGACGCATTTCCTTGGTGAATCCTTTAGCTCCAAATTGACAACTTAAATCATGTAGCGTTCGTGGTCCGCCTTTGTCCATCAAACGTTCGAAGAAGAATAAAAGAGTCATATTTCTGACCATCTCATATTCAGAACTGTCCATTTCGTAAGTTTGTATTATTGTAAAAAACTCCTTTAATCATTCGTATTTGATGGCACTGTCACGAAATATCCTAACAAATATTTAAATGTTATTTAACATTGTGTATAACAAAAAAAAGAATGATATTATTTTAAACGACAAATAAAGTTACTTATTTACCATTGTATTCAAATGACAACGGGAACAACAAAAATACATAATCAAGCATAGAAAATAAGGTTTCTTATATCCTTAAAACAGATATGCATGACGATTGATATGAGTGAGTAGATGCATTGCTAATATCGATAGCGCAAACAGGATCCTGCACATAAATACAATATTATGTGTTATAATAAAAGCATTAATTAATTAAATTACGATTAATAAAAGGAAATTTCATTAATTACTTGTATGTAATATCTCATACAGAGATATTAATAAAACCATACGCTTTAAAAGATAAGCTAATTAAATGCGTTACTAAAATTTTTCCAAGAACATATACTACTCTCTATATTATTTAATATCCTCTTAACACGTTATTTAATTATGCAAATCAATATTTCTATATTGTTAACAATATTGTCAAATCTACGTTGGGTACGATTAGATCTTGGTTGAAAATATCTCAACACAAATGATATAGAAAACATATTACAATAACAATCTATAATAACGCAGGAGCTCATTAGTCATTGTTATCTTGTATGATGTAAATTATGAAAGTATTTACCATCGATGGCCGAAGAACATTAAGTCCTCTTCATTAAATATTCGACATATTTGAATAAATGAAATCTAAATATTTCTAGGTCAACACATTTCAATGGAATTTTATCAATAATTAACAAACAAGATAAATAATATTAAATTTTAATAATTTAGTTGGTAAATAAAAACATAATATTATTATAAATATTAAATAACAACAAATATAACAATAAAAGGCACTTTAGGAAACAATTATTACATATCACCAACTATTATTCGAGAACAATGGATACATATTCTCTAGATTGTACTTCAGTTGATTTTACAAGAAGATATACACAACCATGAATGATCACCGTTGTATTTTTTTGAGGTTATCGCCACCTGTCGTTGCGTAAGGGTACAAATATTTATTGGCGCGTGCTCTTCGAAACATTGTAATTAATCGTAAGGTAATACGCGATATCAATTGATACGTAAACTTTAAATGTAATACTAGGAGCATTGTTGATTATGACACTTCTTTTTTGTCTTTCTTAAGATCACGTGTCTACACACGATATCTTATTCACATCACAGCAGTACATACTCGTTGATATTAGATTATTTTAAATACAGGATAAGAAAATACTTCTTACAATTAGAAATTGTTTTGTTTATGATTTAACATTTCTTAATATTATTATATTAATTACAAAAACTCTTATGGAGAAATAATTACCATTCATTTTTACAATTCATTAGTTTTATAAGTTAAATGTAAAAATAATTCTATGAAAAATATTTTTTGTCTATTATAAATTTATACACAAAAAGTTTCTCTCTCTTTCCCTTATTTTATATTATTATTACTATATCTAACAGCACTGGTTTATATCTTTGGTTAACATCTGATTAGTAGATCTTTTTAGATACTTCTAAATTTAATTTGGAGCATCTTTACTACTCGTATCGAGTAATACGATTTCTATACGTTCGTCGATAGTTTTGTTCTTTTTTAAATCCACGTTGTAAGTATTGGCCTACAAAAAAATGATTCATTATTAAAAGTTTATATTTATGCTTTCTTTTAATTAAATTTACACACTATACATACCAATTGTAATAATGCTAGAAAATATCTAGCTACGTCGTAGCTTTGCTCGTCTTTAACAATATCATCGAAAGAGATGTTCTGATTTTTATTAGTCTGAATTTTATTGTTCAATTTTTTCATTATTTGAGATGCATAGTTTTGTATACAAAATATTGGCCTTTGTTCGACTTCGGCAAATTTCAATTGCATCGATTGATGCCATTTAATTATTTTATGATCAAATTCAGTCTTAACATCCGAATCCTCAAATAGTTCTTTCATTTTATCTTCGATCAGTCTTTCATAATTTGGTAAAGAAAGTTGCAAATCAATTTGGGAGGAAATGCTATCCACTCTCGAAACTCTTAAATCAGTTGAAGAAACTGGACTGATATCGCAATCAAGTATGCTCGGTGTATATGTTAATATACCAGAATCTTCATAAAATGTATCATCCGAAAAAGAATCATCTCCAATAGAATTCGTTCTCATTCTTAAATCATTCGTTGTTGCGTTTATTACTTGATCATCGAAAGAATTTAAGCTTTCTGTGTTTTTGAAACAATCCTTGAAAACCTTTTGTATTTCATCAACTTCTTCTAAAAAAAATTAATAATATTTACTTAAATAACCATCGTCGTATTTAAAAAAAATATTAATAATATAAATTTCTTGCCTGATCTGAATTGTGGTAGTAATTGTTTTTTGGCTTTCTGTGTAGAATATTTGTCTTGCAACATTTTAGATTCTTTTAAAAGAAAATTTACCACACACTCGTTTTTGTGCATTTGCGAAATTATTTTCTTTTTTTTCTGTAAAATGTAAAAATAGAAATTAGTTTATATAAATCTGTAGAGTAATAACAGTTAAATCAGATTGATATTAAACTTACACGTTCAGTCTTCAAAACTATCGAAGTTGAATTTAGTAGATCGATACGTTTCTTTTTTATTGAAATATTATGTGTAAGGGATATCGGTTCCCACATTTTTGAATTATACGTTTTCTTCATATTAGTTGGAAATTTTATTTCTTTTACTCTAAAATTATATTTGTTTTCAAATAAAAAGGATTATATGATATTATTATAACTTTGTACACTTTTTATTTTACATTTTAACTAAAAATATATTTTTTTTCTTTTTAAATTTAAAATGATAAATATACAGCTGGATAGGTCACAATGTGAGTTATAAAACTGTTAGCATTCTAGAGAATGAGAAAAAAAATATATTTTTAGTTAAAATATGAAATAAAAAGTGTACAAAGTTGTAATAATGTAAGACAATCCTTTTTATTTTAAAGCAAATCTTAAATAACAGCTAATTTCCGGCCTTCTAAATGGTCTTTCCCCCTTAATATCATCTTCATAAAAATGATTTATACCTTCCACTAGAATGTTGATTTTTATTAGAAATATTGCACACATTATCCGTATTATTCATATTAGTATCACAATTATTAAATAATTGTTTATTAGTTTTAGAATTATCCTGTGACTCTTTTTTCTGAGCAATATTTGTAGTCTGTTCTTTTTCAAAAATTGCATCGTCTGTTTCATTAAAGTCATCCATATGGACCGAACAATCAGCGAGTTCTTCTAATGGTGACAAAGAACAATTTGTTAAAGTTTCTGTGTTATTGTCGGTGGTTATATTAGTTGTATCAATCGGATTATTAGAATTATAAGAGCTATCAAATATCGACGTATTCGAACAATATCCCGAAGTAGCAGAGTTATTATTGTCCATTATTTTAAAATCTAAAAGAGAATAATTAAAATAATTATTTAATTACTTTCTCTTAAGATAATCAAGAATATAAATTTACCATCCGGGGTAGGTTCATCTATCAGTAGACCATTCATACTCAAATATTGATTACATCTAAATACATAAATTCATGATTAAAAACATATAAATAAATGTTTAATATACTTTTACTGTATTAACATACCTGAAATCATATTTTTTCCCTATAATATCCCCATGAATATCAATTATTTTTATCGCATTATCCACAGGATTTTCAATAATATTTTCCAATTGAACAAACCGTCGTGTTAACAATTTCACTGGTTTTTCGATGTTAAATTTATTCTTTGTATTAATATTTTTTCCAATATTATCTGACAAATTGCATAATTTAAAGTCATCAAAATTGATTGAATTTTTATTCAAAATTCTTTTATAATTTTTTACTTTACTGCACTTAGAACTTTCATTCGCATCAACATCTTTTTCAGAACTATAAAACCAAAGTTTATTATCAACTTTTATTACTATCGAGTATATAGCGATTTAAATAAAAATACGTACTCATAATCAATAAAAGTTTCATTTAAATGTATAGTTTCATTGAGAAGACATTCAACCCTTTGCGTGAAAATGTTAACAGAATTTTGAAGGATTAATGCAGCTTCTCCAAAATTAACATCGCAGTTTCCTTCGAGTAAAGAATAATATTCTGTGAGAATCTGGAACATAGTAATAATATAATTTGTAATAGATCATTTGGAAAGAATCCATTAGTGATTAATCCTAAACTTATACGTACTTCTGAAAGTGGAAAGTTCCAACTCGAAAAACTTTTTGATGATTTCAAAAGCTGGCGACTAATATCTTCTAAGTTAACCATTTTAATCTAACTTATGATCTTATAACTTATATTATTATTCTTTCATTTCTTTTTAAATATTATCTTTATTGTGGTAAATTAGTAAATAATACTTGTAACAAGTAAAGGTTAGGAATATATTGATATTAATGTACGAATATATATGATATAATTAATTACCAAGACTATTATTATTATTACACAACAAATATAATAGCGTAGATAATTTGCATTTGATTTATTTATTTTTCAAGATTAAATTGTAGTCACGTGTTTGGACTTCTCAAACTATGCCGCATTCAATGTTTGTTAATTTCGGATATCTTTATTTTTTTTAATTCCTACTTAAATTTTGGAATACTTATCTTTTTTATAAATTTTATTTTTTTCAAAATAAATTTATCAATTCTTTACAAGATTAAAATAAAATGAATTCGTTTAAATGATTTTAAATTAATAATTATGGTTTAAATGCTTTAAAAAAGAATTTTATTTATTCATGAATATATATATATATATGTATATATTAGTTTTTTAAATTTTTATGTGAAACTGGCTGACTTAGCATCCAAATTTGTTCCAATTGTTTTCAATTTTTGTATTTAAGGAAATGTTTCTTAATTAAATATAAATATATAGAATGTTTGTGAAAATAAAATAATAATAATAATAATAATAATAATAATAAAGATAGATTTATCTATGCTTAAAAATAAAATAAGATAATAATAATAGAAAATTAGATTTTTTGATAATTAATTGAGTATATTTGTGAATATATTTAAGATAGATGTCTATCTTAAGTTTGTATGGTTTATGGACTTGGATGCAACGTAACACGTGTTGGGTCGAGTACGTTTATTTAAAGAGGGAGAAGACGTAGTAGTTTAGCCAGAAATACGGGCTTTTATTCCTTATTTAATTCGTAAGATTAATTTAATATTACTATTATCATCATTATAATAATAATAATAATAAGTATGAGAGTATGTTGTTCCAACATGTCAGACATGAATAGTGATTAGTATCGAATATTAATCGTTTATCTGAGAAGTTTGAAAATAGTGATGTTAGAAATATATGTATCTGCTGCTTGCCACACGTTTCCCTTGGCATAAGAATGAGCTGGCATAAATTGCTCGTTGGTTGAAAAAAAAACTAAACTTTTCACAATTTTTACCAAACGTAGGCTATTCGTTAGTAGATATTAAGATTATAACTTAGAAACGTATAATTATTATTATTATTATCCTGATTATAAATATTTTTTTCTCGTATTTATTTACGAAATATTCCTAACCTTTTAAATGAAATATCATAGTCCAACTGTTGTATGTATAACATATTGTTATGTAGTTTGCTTTGAATGTGCTATTAATCTTAATCCAGATCTATTTTTATATTATTAATATTGCGAAGCTAATTATAAATCCACTTGAGATATGTAAATAATGTCTAATATTAGTTAATGTTTATCTGTAAGATGGATTTAACAGCATAGTGGAGATAACTTTGATTTGTATGAAAATTTATTTTTATAATGATCTTTTTATTGCATTAATATTTTTATTTGATAGTATTTTTGAATGTTTATTTAAATCGAAGAGTTACTTTACTATGACCTCATTTGTATATGTTGTAAGAATTAGAGATATTGAAAGAAAAAAAACATCGAAGAGTACGATACTAATATAAGTTGTTTCTGTTTGTTTTCAGGTCAACGTTAAAAAAATTTAAATGCAAGGAAAAGGAAAACAGTGAAGGTGTTTATAATTATAACAAAAAGGAAACATAGATCTTGAAACACTCAAACGTTGTAACGTCGCAAAAGGGCTCTATGTACTCCATATCGGCTTTCTTGAATGGTACTTTAGTTTACAAAAATCTTGTCTCAACTTATCAGAAGAGGAACAAGTCTGCAATTTATAAGTTTATCGCTCAATATTGGTATCATGCGCAACGAAATTACAGCAGCAGTACTGTTCTTAGTACAGCTGATAGAAAAAAACGAAAAATTTAGTCCCGATCAATTGGAATGTTTCAAGCGACATTTAGTTGAATTGTTGACGGAACGCTTTAAAAATCATTGGTTCCCCGATAAGCCATTCAAAGGTCAAGGTTATCGTTGCATACGTGTTAATGGTCATAATAGAAGGGATGCAACATTGGAGAGTGCGGCTAATGCTGCTGGAGTTAAGTACGAAGATTTGTCTCTCCCAGTAGAGCTTACGCTTTGGGTTGATCCTAACGAAGTTTGTTGTCGTTTTGGAGAAAGTAAGGGATCATATTGCACATTGGCATCATTCGACGATAAAGAAAATACCGTACCAATTTTTCAAAGAGACCATCAAGCAGAAAAAGAAAATAAACAATCCGAGAGGCAAACAAAAATGCTGGTAAGTATAAGAACTATACATTTAGATATTTATATGTGCTCTTTTTGGTGTAAATAAAGAAATAATTGTATATAAAATGTTTTACAGAAAACCCCATTAGTTCCTACTATGGAAGAACAACATGAAGTTAAACCTTTGAGCTCTGCGAATCAAAATCAACATCATAACAGTACTGGTACAGGTAGGAAGCGCAATTTGAACAGTCCCAGACTCCATGTTAACAGAAATCGTACTTGGTTTGGTCACTCCTTTGGCATGGGTTATGGACCCCATCCAATTACTCAACCGTGGTATAATATCGTGCCACCTCATTTTTTGAGTGGCCCATCTCCACCTCCCTTCATGGGCCATCGGGGAAACAAATGGATTCCTACTTCTTATCCCGCTGGCCCAACCCGTTTTCATCACTGGTCTCCGAAAGCTACTCTTAAAGTATAAACAAATTTGATGCAAATATAAATATAAGAAATCTGTTCCTTTATTATTATTATTATTATTATTATTATTATTATTAATATTTTTGTTCTTTTTATTTTTCGAAAACTATGGAGAATGGTTATTTCTTTTTTTGTATCTTTCATTCTATTTTATCTTTGTAATTGTGTAGTATTTTAACTGCCTTTCTTATGTATCAAAGCATATATCTATGGAGGCTAATCTAATTATATCTTTTATTAATTATTAGGAATAGATTTCTTTATTTATCGGTGATGAAAATGATTCATTCTGTAATTACAAATGACCTTGTTCGAATCAAGACTAAGGCTTACGATTTTTTATGACAAGAGATGTTGTATTATTACATGTTTATATACATATTATAATTAATCCAAATAATAGATATTTAACTCCGGATGCAAGGTTGCTTGTAAAAAAACACTAGTCTATTGGGGGAATTTAAAATAGAATGTATTAATTTGTACATCCATATATGATGAAAAGAGGCAATGAACGTTAAATGCCATTAGTGACGATTTCTTATCGGATTGGTATTTTATATATATAAACAAAAAGAAAACAAGAGAGGAACTTTTAACGCAAAAAATGTTGGTAAAGTAAGCCATCTTTATATATGAAGCAGTATTGACTTGTGTATATGTATTTGAAATGAATGTCAAAGTCACAGATAAATTATTCGTGCAATTTATTACGGTTGAGCACGATTTGGTTTCTTTTTGCGTCCCGTTTCTTTTCTTTTATACTAATCATAAATATTATATTAAATATAAATTTTAATTATTGTACGCGAGGAGATATGAGATTCTACTTTTGTTATTTTTCTTTTCAAAAATTTAAAAATTCAAAAATTATATATA